GTTTTACATGCAGATCATTTGAGCTTAAATGTTTGCCGTGAATGATGGCTGCAACCTCGCTCCTAGTTAGATATGGTCTGGCAATTGACCAGAGTAGAAATGAATGGAGCATTGGTTTGGAGATCTGACGATCAGATGAACTGGGCCGACTTGATGACTCCATTTGAAAAGATATCTGCGCAGCGTTCTAAAAGCGTTCATGCCGAACGTCGGTCACAGAAGTGCCGATAACTCACCCGCGTTGGAGATTTGGCTAATCGCCCGGCTAAAGATTCTAATCCCGACAATCGTGAACTCAAAGACGAATGTGATTCAACCTTGTGATACTAAATGGTTATTCGCTGACAATTAATACCCCCTCTGGTATGTCTGGTGTAAACACTTTCTCTCATATCTATATTGGACTCGACTCGCGTGTCAACCAAAGAATAGAGGATCTTTCTCGTCTTCAATCCAATCTTGTAAGCCATTCTTCAATATCTGGCCTTGCAAGCTGCCCTGAGTGCGGGTCTTAGCATTGTTTGGATCCGGTATGGAATGTAGGCTCATGGGCTGGGTGGGTCTAGACCCCAGTTCCAAATTGTCAAAACTCCGAAAATTACAACTGCAAAAAATATCACCGGGGAGATTATACGCTCCTTCGTTGTGGTGCCGATTTTGCTGTCATCTTCGAAGCTTATAGGAGGCGGGAAGAGAGGCTCTTTTCCACAAGACAGTTGGGTGGTTGATAGAGAGAAACTCAGTACTGGTCGAATTTTGCTAAACAAGCGGCGAAAGAGGCATGCATAAACATGGGACATTTCGATGTGCACCACAAGGTTTCATCGGAACACATAGTGCTGAATAAAGGAACAAACCTAAAGTTATCTCGATCTCAGCTGAGAGCTCCCTCCAGAGCCAAAGACACCCGGCGCGGTTACAACGTCATTGGAGTATCAGTTATAGTGGACCTTATTTGTCTGTTTCATCTCGCACTGGTGAACAACATTACGCGTGAGCGAATGCTGGGAGCTTCCCATTTTATAGGTTATATTAGTGGAGGAGATACATTATTATGGCATTATGATCAATTCCTGTGAATTACCATCACTGTTTGCAGCCTGTAACTCATAGGAGCGGTGATCTGCTCCTTTGCTCTGCAGATAGAATGGACCTTCTGATCTACTCGGATCGGTGGCTGAAGGCTGTGTACCCTTGTGCTGCCCAAGCTCTCTCAGGAGCCCGTAAAAGAAAGGAGTGTTTGCCACAATGCAACTGCAGAGAATCTCTATAGTCGCCCACTAATTGATGTTAGGCTCCATGTTTTTATGAGTGAGCCCCGGCCTTAAGCACTTACAGTGGACCGAGCCTTTTGTGACATGGCATCGCCGAGGATAAGCGGTATCCGCACAATTGTAATCGCAATGACTAAAAGGCCGATACTGAATAAGACTCCAAGTTGTATTTTACTGGCAATTGTCAGCGCAATGTTCATTAAGAGCCACAAGGTTGCGTTACGTTCTCGTGTTTAATCTCGCCACGGCGAGGGTTGGAAAAGGCAGTATGAGTAGTGCAATATCTGTGCTGATATTACCTGCGGCCAGAGCGAAGAAGTAAACCATGCCTTTCTGACAAGCAGGTTCTATTACGCGTCAGTCTCATTGGTACAATCAGGGTTACTATCGCAAGGCAACAAGAAAAAGGAGACGTACGAGTTTCCTTAGAAGCGAGCCTCCACATCCTGGAACGGTTAGCAATGAACGGGCCAGAGAGACAAGGGCTACATACAAAGATATAGGGCGACATTCGGCTAATATCGCTACAATAACAACAAGACAAGAAACAAGCAAGAGACACCATAGCAGGTTGACTGCAATCTTGCCCCAACTTGTCACCCGAACGAATCGAGAGTAAAAGGAAAGCAGGGCAGCTTTCAAGATCCAAAGACTATAGGACATAGGTCTCAGTAGGTAACCAGACGTCCACACAAGAGTCTTACACTAGAGTGTAGCTCAATCGAGTGCCGACAAGTAGTTGAAGCCCAACAGTACGATCATGTTCAAGCTTGTCCACAGTCATGTTCTGAGCTGCCGCCTCATCCTTGGTTGCAGGCTCGCGTGAGCTAGAGGGGTTCAAGAGGAATGATAGAGTGATGCAGACGGTGCGCGAGATAAGAGGCAGCACAGCAATGGCCATGTAAATATCGTCGGCATGCCAGATTCTATGGGAACCTGCATGGCCCTTGTATCGGTGGTAAATACGATAGCCGCATCGCGACAGAATCAGAGCGGAGCATATGCATGCAATAGCAATGTCCTTCTCGATAGTTGAGGATAATGCCATGTCTAGCTGTCGATCAGATCCACTTTGGAGGAGGGTAAGTGCAGCCGGGGAGCAGTCTTTTTAACACATTATTACCGTAGGGTCAGGGGGATCTGGAACCACCCACAAATACTGATGGGCGTTTAATAGTCTTGTCGATAGCTCAGGGGAAGCTCTGATGATGGTGTGGAGGGCGACGGTTGGTCTTTCCGCTGCAAATGAGAACAGGTTGCTGATTCAATGTCAGGCCACATAAGATTTACGCTATGTATGTATCGCGTTACCCCGGATTCTACTCCAGCTTTCACTAGAGAGCATTGAGCTAGTAGGCTGGAGTTCATTTTGTCGAGACCCATTCTGAGGAGAGACTATTGGCTGGAAAGGTTCTAGAAGCAAGCCACCACATGGACTAACTTCTTGTGATGAAACACGATAAGGTTTTGGGTTGGCTAATTTAAAGGAATAGTTTATGCTTAGATCCCCTTGTGACTGAAACGCCATGTTTAGGAAGGGACGAAAACTTGCCAGTTGTGGAAGAGCGCACCTCAGTGGTGCCAAATCTGGGAGCTGTCGCATCTCATAATAACATGCCTGTATGGAAAGCCTCCCTACAGGGCTTTCTAGCGCACTGAAGATGACAAGTAGTACTGATAACGCTTTTAGAAGTGACAGTCCTCTTGATCTTGATTGCATTTTGGCTGATTTAATGACCTTGCGAGTTGAGAAGTAAGTGTTGCAATGATCCTTATATTGATTAATGATATACGGGGTCCAGCCCAGCTCTCAGTAATATAGTATCTTGGACGTTTATCTAATTCATACGCTTCACAGATCGATTCCATCTAGATCTGTAGCCTGTCACTTGTTCGGCTTTGGGCTCAAGTTAACATTTTGTTTGTCAATGATCCCCTGTCCTTGAGGTACCAGGCCTTGAGCTGGATCGCGGCCGAACAACATGGTAGGAATGGAGGTGTGAGAGTCTCTGGCTGCTTGCGTAGTCTTAAGTGCGACAGCTACCAACTGTTAGAATATATTGGCGACGCGCTAGGCTAAGACTTACCAGCTACTGTGGCTGTGACTAACACAACCGGGAGGGCTTTGTGGATGCGCGCCATGCGGGATACAGCTGGGGCGGGTTGGGAGGGGAAGTCAAAGCGAGGAAGAGCTCCGCCGAATGAGTTGGTCGTCATGATGAAGGTTTCTTATGAAATTGGGATTTGATATATGGTAGTTGCAGGACCGTGATATGAGTTGAGAGGAAATGCTTCCCTTTGACTCTTTGTTGATGAGTGCTGAATGATGATGGTCCGAACAAGATGAATTGGACACTGTCTTATATCAATTTCCTACCTCCCTATTCTCAATCCTCTCGATTTCTTGCTATATCGCCGGTGAGTTCCGTATAGCAGATCTATAAGGTCAGCCCACCGACCCCAGTCTCAGGACTTGTCAGATTCGTACCACGCTGGGGCCCAAGTGGCGTGGATTGTGGAGTAAATGGGCTGCTTTCTTCATGCCCTGGGTGCCGACGATCTGCTGGTTCAATTTGTCTTCTACAGCGCTGCCAATAATCGCAGAGTGTAAAGAGATCCAATTGAGATCGTGCCAGATTTCTGCTCGCTCGTGCCGTGATGAGGCTTTGTTTGTATCTGGCGCATCTCGGGACGTTTCAACGCTTCAAAGCACCTGAGATCTTGTCTCACGGAGTATCATTGACGTTTCCATCGTCCTGCTATGAAAACTGTGTGGCTTGGCTTGGTATCATTGTCTGGTGATGTGAGTTTTGTGATTTCTTGTACAATGAAGATCTCTAAAGAAATCTAGGCTGTTGGGTATCGCGAGAATGTCCCGGAGTCATCAGATGATTCAGTTCCGATGTTTCGCGATGGTCATCTTTAGTCAGCATTGAACCAAACTGCGACTCCAGTACTAACAGCTCGCGGCTGAGTCATGGCGTGGGAATGTTAGTTCAGCGGTACAGCGACATACTCCATCTCCCACCGGGGAAATCTCACTGTTGGCCTCCCCAGAAATAGCTCTCCGCAAGTGATGCGGCACTTTAATGAGATTACAACTGGCATCAACCCTTGCAGGTCATCCATCGTCTTTCGAGTCTTAGACATTTGATCACAGCCAATGGAAGTGGTACGATTACCAAACTTTCATTATCAATGCACGCGGGATGACGGGCAGCCGGACGCAAGAGCTCACCGAGTTTCTCGAGTTCTTGTCATGACATCGCCTCGTGCCATGTCTTACAGGTACCATTTGCGGATCATAACACCAATTTCGCTTTTAAATGTCTCAAACAATTCCGAGGCGCTTAATGTGACGCTGGCTTGCACGGAATGTTTCACTTACTGACTGACCGAGAAATCATCGATGGAGTAGGCACAGAACATTCGATTATTGTTCCAAATTCAATGATGACTTGCATAGAGATCTATTTCTAGCTGACCATTATCGTACCCCTCCATATAGCAAATTTGGCTCTCTGGTAACCATTACGTGCAAAAGATTACTCTATATCGCGTGATGCTGGTTCCTTGTAGCCAAACACTACTTAACCCTCACCTCCCTTTTAGGTTTAAGCATTAAAGTATGACAGAAATGACGCAAGGTAATCTTTTTACTATTGTCGCCTTCCCCTGCTCTCATGGCCACTGTGGATGATACGTGTCCGTCAGTGCGATCATGCTATGCCAGAGTGTTCGCAATGCTTTCGCCAAAACATCCAATGCCCTGGTCACGAGACAGACTGGGACTTGCGTTTCAGAGATGAGACCAAGCTTTTAGCTGCCGGAACCAACAAGAGAAAGGCCAATAAAGCTGCGAAATGTTCAACAATTTCACCACCAAGTTCTCAGGACTCTCCAAGTCAGGCCATCAGTATCCGAACCATGGATAGGGCTGTGCCTTGCTTCATAATCTCGTATATAGATAGCACAGTTTATGGGGGCTACCTACCTCAGCTAGATGCCGAAACTGTCTTGCAAAACTGTACACAAGGCGCTCTGGTCTCGACAATACGAGCTGCATCGATGGCTGCCGTGGCCAGACGCCATCGGAGTCAAGAGACCCTATGTCTCGCATTCAAAGAGCTCTCAACGGCGTTGGAACAAACTAATGCCAGGCTTGCTGAACCAGCTGCGGCAATGCTCAATGCCACCCTTGGTGCTTCGCTTACCTTGGGTCTCTTCGAATTAATCGTCTCCACTGGCAAAGAGAACATCAATAGCTGGACACCTCATACTCTTGGAACTATGGCATTGTTGCGTTTACGAGGACTTCAACAATTCGGAGACATCCTCGGTCGACCTATGTGTATCCATGCTGCCTACAACATCCGTGTCAGCTGCATTAAGCGCGCTGTTGAGGTTCCTCAAGATCTTATTCGACTGGAAGAAGACTTTTACGAGACATTCAATTTCTCAAGGCTGGTCGAGACCACTATTCAATCATGAACAGAACCTGCAGTATCAAGGCGGATTTCAAAAACGCGCCGACGGTTGACCTCATCTGCCGAGCTATAGAAACCGGGCGTGACGCAGACCTGTTCATCCAAGGGTTTAGCCCATCGGCAAGTCCGGTAAAATAAGGGCTATGCAGAACATCTCCACTGACGGATCATCAAGCTCTTGCCAACTCCGTTATGCTTCATAGCGCAACGAGCACTCCCCCATTGGCAATGATGGCTCAGTGGTTATTTGGAATGTCAATACTTCGACTGGTACTGAACGAGATTATTGGGAGCAGTGGCCCATTGTACGACGGCCACCCTGAGGTCTTGCAGAGAATTCGCCAGGCCAGCAATGGACTTGATGGTGAAATCTCTAGTGAGGGTTATCAACCAGCCCTGGTTGCATATACTGCAAAGAATATCTCTCAAATCTCCCGCCAAGTTCTTGCATTTGCGCCCAAGTTCATAGTTGAAGAGGAAACAGTCCCTCGCTTTCCTAAAATGGCCCGATGCCTAGTACTACCTCTGGTGCTTATTCAGAGCGTCCTTTACTGCCCAACTCATATTTATCAAGAAGTTAATAACCTGCTTTTAAGGCTCGAAAATGATATGGAGTTATCACAAGGTCAATTTGCCGCAACGGTTTCTTATGCATCGAGACTGGTAGGAGAATGGTAAGTTTTTAATTAAAAAAAGTAACTACTGATCTGACTCCTTGCTTTCACAGGCTTCCTCTTTGCCATATAATCTAGAGTATATCTGAGAGGGAAGTAAGTTTAGTTATTGTTATTTCTTAATAACCTGCAAAAATTGCCAATAGCCGGCCGAGCTTAAACTCTAGATGAGAACTCCATGCAACGACTACTAGTTAAACGCCACTTTGGTAATCAAATATAGCCATATGCCTTATCTGATTTCTTCTTATTAAAAATGTGTTTGTACTTTTCTTCCTCGCGTGCAATATCAATGATCGCTTTGCTAGCTTTTCCAGGCTCACGCTCAACAAGATGCATATCGCGCGGCCGTCCCTCGAGAGTAGGTGCTGCTGCTGCTACGCCCAGTAGCATAGTGAATATAACTGCTGGTTTCATTTCGGGCGCGTGATGGCAATGGATGTTTGAACTGATAAACTTTCAGGATTAGTCTAAGTTACGTTAAGTCTTGCTGTGGTGTAAAGGGTTGTACCTTGAAAATTGTAGGCAATGTTGTGGCGTTGGAGTGTCAACTTGGGGAGAAGTACACAGATGCTGCGCAACGATATGGGAGCATTTTGAAAAGAAAACGAACAGGAAGTATAAGCAGATTATATACGTAGAAGGTGAGCTTACCGTGTTGCCTGCCCTTAAGCGCTACCCCTGAAGTGTATATGTGCTTAGATGATTTGACTCCTGGTCTTATGCTGTTGGTCCCTAGATGAGACTGCAGGACGGCACTAGTTACAGAGTGGACCTGCTTGCTCCATGGTTCCACAGTTTCTGTTACCGAGTCTTCTTGCATCACTAAATCAATCTTTAGCAAACTGCCAAAACGGGAGAGTACAGAAGCTCCAGACAGAGCCTTATGTCAGTAACGATAAGTAATATATAATAAATATAACAGCAAGTAGCTACTGTAGAGGTATTGATATTACTAGCATATACACCGCAAATCCTAAAAGCATACTAAAAAAACGTAACGTGCTCTCTTTACAGGCAAGCTGCAATCCACAGAAAATAGTAACCTCAGCCAACACCACTCGTTCAGCCACGTCAGACGTGATATACAAGTGGTACCAATAAGCATGCCATGTTGGCTGTTGTGTTCCAGGCTTGCAGCACATCGCTTACTAGCGTCACTCGGCAAGACCCAATGCCCAACAGAATACCAATAGTCTCTTGTGTACGTCACAAGTTCGAGGAACTCTTTATGTGGCACACAGCGTCTTCAGCGTAAACAAATCGCACCTAGAGGCCAACCTCCAGCACAATAAAATTTCAAAAATGTGTTTGGGAAATGAGGATATATTTGCCGCAACTTGGCATAACTATAATTAGCCAAGATTCCATGGGTCGCAATCGAGAGTCTAGCTTCAATACCTAGAATGTTCTTTATGGACTCTACTAAAGATATACACAATTAGATTCATCGTTCGTTTGGAAAGCCCTGTTCATCCCCAGATAAAAGTGCCTGCCTTCCAGCATTGGGCTCGTGATAAGCCATTGGGTAAGCCATAGTGTATGCGTGCCCCTTTACTTCACCAGGGTAATGTTCTGGGCTTCTCAAAGGCTGCATCGGGAAAGGAGTTGGGTCAGCAACCGTAACAACCCTGCCATTCACAGCCAACATGCGTTTCTGGCCAGCAGGTACTAAGCTCAGATTAGGTGACCGTGTTATATACCCTGGCTTCACCTTGCTTGGCTCTGATGTGGTATGTATCAGGTTGGCAAAAAGAGTGCTAGCCCAGTGAGAATCCGCAAGGATCATAAGACCCAACCAACTGACAAGTGCCAAGAAGAAAGCAAGGCAGCTAAGAGCGAGTTGTAGACGTGACATGGCCACCATCAGCTCCTCGACACTGATCTGCACAAGTGTTGGGTCTATGCTAGAACTATAAGCTCGCGCTACCAACAGAGACTCTATAGTGTCAACATTTTCTCTTAACCATACCAAGACCTCGTTGTCCAGAGATACAGCGCTGATGTTTGAACGCGTGGCGCCCAATCCACGCGTGATCATTACAGCTGCTGTGTCGACTTGGCCAAAGAAGCCCGGCTTTCCACTTGCCGGTGGAGATCCCGCGCAGTCAGTCTGTACGACTCTTCCACCAAAGGCTTCGTTTTGGAAGTTTGCTCTTTGGCATTCTTCAAAGGGGACTGGGGCATTTGCCAGGTCTTCTGATCGAATAAGGGTGATGTTTGTGGTTGCGATGCTCAGTAAAGAGTACTGAGCGGTCCCATTTACCTCCGCGGTAAGAAATCCCCACTGGCTTTGAAGTGCAGTTTTGTTGTCATTGTCAGGGGCATTGAAGCCGAATTCGTAGCTGGCATTTTGATCCTGGGCGCTCATTATGCCTTGGATAATGCGACCAACGAGAGGATCACTTTGTTCGGTCTCGTTAGAACTCCAAGTTCTCTGCACAATGTCTGTCACTTCATCTTTCGCAAATGGAACTCCTGGGCTGGTGATCATTGTAACTTTGAGCGTTAACTGAGAGAAGGTGTGTCGTTTCTTCTTCTTGGTGACAGTGAAGACCTGATTCATCAGGGCTGAGCCACCACCTACACCAACAGATACCCAGATATTGTCCATTCTATTCGGCCGGATGTATCGCGAGTCCAATACTTTATCCGTTGAATCCGTCCAATGAACCTCGGGCAGTCCCGTTTGCTGTTTCTCTATCAGGTTTACAGCCGCAGCGTTATCGAAGGTGCAATTCCAAATGGCTAGACCCTGTGTGAACCTGACACATGTATTAAACAAAGTTGTGTTGAGATTGTCGGCGTAGGGAATCATGGAGTTCGTATCAGGAGATACTGAAAACCCCTCGTCATCTAACCAGATGCGGGCACCAACGCCATCTTCTCGTGTTGGTGCTGTGGTTGTAGGTAGTCCGTGGCTGTTGCTAACTTTACCAGTTAAGGTGTAATTGAGACCAGGGTTGAACAACTCAGCACCAATGATTTGTGGAAGCTTCTTCGTGGTGGCTGGAAGTTGACCCCTGTCCAGCGACATTTGAAGGATGTATGGAGGGTCACTATTTCGTTGGGATTGGTAATCAGAAACTGTCGCATTTGACGCCCTGAAGATATAGCCTGGGGAGTCTAGTGCCCAGAGAAGAGTACCATAGAGGGAAAAGATAACATTTAGGAGACTAAAAGCAAGGACGACAAGTCCCGCCCGCGACAGTCCACGAGATGAAATGTAGAGTGTTCGTTGAATATAATCCTCTGTGAACATCAGATATGATGTGAACTGTCTTGATCGGGCAGCAACTAGTGAGAATAATTTAAAAATAAATATGCCCATAAGCAATTCAGCGCATTTGAAGATGATTGATTTGACGGCATTGTGATACAGAGGTATTGAAGACTTGATAAATGACGACGATGATTCGATCATATCGTGAGATACAGAAAGCGACGTTAGAATGAGGAAAAAATAAAAGAGACAAGAAAAGGCAGTCCTTCTTGGCAGGCAGTTGGCGCCAACTTGATTGCCTTTCTAAGGTCGGGTGGCCAGTATTCCTATACAGGCTTGTACTTGCAGGCGCGTAGATCAATAAAATGGATGTTCAATCTGACCTGATTGGTGAGTTTGCGAGCACAAGTCAATCACTGCCCGCTTAGGTTAGCGCCAACTTCCAGCTTAAGCTTGAAAATCAAGGGTCTTGCGAGAAAGAGGGGTAGGTAGACGGGACATTTCCGTGCTTATATTCCGCTATTTCAAGCATTCCACTACCCTACATCTAAACCCAGCAGAAAGATAATCTATCGACTTCGATTTATTAGTCTTATTTTCTTTAACTGTTATGCCATTAATAAATTCTTTCTCTATTAATTTAATACCTCTGATTTTTAGACTTTATTATATAATAATAGAAAACGCCTCTAAGGGGGATATCTTTTAGTAAATACAAAGTTCCTAGTACCTAACGGATCTGGAAAATTAGTCTTTAAAGCACGTGAACCAGGTTGCATAGAACCAGGGGGTCTGCTTATAAATCAAATTGCATTAACCTTTCCTTTGGCAAAATAACTCATAGATGTATTCTCTTCAATCTATTCAAGCTCAGCAGATGCGAATCGGAGTACGGGATAGGGTATAGGTGTATATGACTTATTATGTTGGTTTGTCACTGAGAAGCAAGGAAGCTGTGCCGGAGCTCCTATGTTCACTAATGAAAGCTACAAGCATTAGCCTATTGGTTAGCAAACCAGATGATCTAGAAGGCGAACACGCCAGTCCATCACGCGATATTCGATTCAGACCGCACGTTATCTCTGATACTCACTGAGTCAGTCAGAGGATTCCTGGATTTCGACTTCAGGCTGGCTGTTTCATTGTCCGGATCTAGTGGAGCCTGGAAGTGTGTACCAGGTACAGATATTTCTTCATTGCAGTGACAACGCTGCCTCACTGACGGAGCGACAGCATAAAGAATAGATCGAGCCCCAGAACTTTAACACACTTGCTTTGACCCCATTGACATAATCACAAGCTCGTATCATGACACAAACTAAACCCCCCCAAATGCTTCTGCAAGCCAGCCAAGCAACTCAATCTGTATGGGAGACTCTGAACAAATGGCTTCCCCCTCTCTCACGAGACAAAGACTGGTGGTGGAAGACTCTCGGTCCACAAATCAACACCCTCCTCACAGAAGCGGACTATGACTTGAACGAGCGGTACGAAGCTCTGCTTTTGTTATACCGATGGGTTGTTCCGGAAATGGGACCCAGGCCACGGTCAAGCGTGGCACCCTCCAAAAGTTTCATGACTGATGACCACTCTCCCATTGAATATAGCTGGAAATGGAACTCTGGAAACAAGAAGCCTGAAATTAGATACGCCGTTGAGCTCGTCAGCCCCTTAGCCGGAAGCAAGCAAGATCCATTCAATCAAATTCCGACGAGGAATCTTGTTTACAACCTCGCCAAAATCATTCCCGAACTCGATCTAACGTGGTTTGAACATTTCTGGCATGAGCTGCTGGGTCCTGGGTCTCCCACAACGTCCACTTCTGGAATTTTGACAAAAGGTTCAACTGTTTTTGCGGCCTTGGAAATGCTGCATGGTCACTTGTCCGTCAAAGTGTATTTCATACCAGTCGAAACACCAGGTTTCAGTGCCTGGCACCAGATAAAACATGCGATTGAAGCATCAGGATGTCCAAATCTCGAGGCTTTAAATCACGTGGACGCCTATCTCTTCAGCCACGACGACGGAAGACAACTCCGCCCGTTCATGCTGGCCATAGACCTTGTCGAACCTGCTGCTTCGCGACTCAAGATATACGCAAGGTCCAACCAAACTTCTTTCCGCTTTGTTAGAGACGTTATGACTATTGGTGGACTTCGCACAGACTTGGATAGGTCTATAGAGAAGTTCTCGGACTTATGGAAACGTGCACTCGGCCTCGACCCTGATACGCCACCTGAAGACGAGCTACCTAAGGTGGATCATCTGACTTCCGGGGCGGTATTTAACTTTGACGTCGCACCAAAATCTCCGATTCCCGAGGTCAAGGCATATATACCAGTTCGGCACTACGCTAATAACGACCTTCAAGCTGCACTTGGGCTTATAGGGTACCTTGAAGACCATGGACATGGGGGTTACTCGCAATCTTATCTTCGTGGATTGGATATGCTGGCACCGTCAGGCCAGCTTGACCAAGCTACTGGGGTTCAGACCTACTTCGCTGTTGCGTGCCAGGGTGAGGACCTGTCTCTCACTTCATACTTGAATCCTCAATTTTATGCAGCATTTCAGGAACCAGAACGTACATAGATCACGTATTTTGATTCCATAGCGGCCAGATGCTCAAGCCAGTAACAAGAACATGCAAGCAATCTCGTATTTACTCTGGCTTCCTGGCCCACACAGTTCTCAGGCGAATATACGGGTGATTCCTCCTGTCTCTGATCTCTCGCCGGAACTTGGCGATATATACATGGACCTCCTCAGGAGTCCATCCCAGAGTGTTGGCAACGAACAACACCAAGCCTTCAGTGTCCTGAGTACTGAACAGCTCACCAAATTGACCCATTTCTTTGAGCTTCGGATCTTTCGGGAAAGGGTTCAATGGTAACTAAGGGCGAGACGGGTCAGTGTATCCTTATCTATCTCGGAAGCATGCCTTACCTTTGAGTCCCATTGCTCGACATCTGTAAACCCTGCTCTCTCAATGCCAGGTCGCTGAAGATTGTCACCCACGACAGTGAATGTGTTTCCAATTGTTTTTGAGGCTTTGATAAAGATAGGTCCCCACTGTGCTAATGCCGAGTCGGGCTTCACACTATCGTCATCACTCTCGATGATAGCTGAGGCTTCAAAGGACTCGACCCAACCGCCCGGCTTAAGAACCCTAAAGGCCTGTTCAAAGAGATTGTCCCAATTTGGAACGCATCCAACTAAATAGCGTAGGTGGACATAATCGAATGACTCTGGGGGAAAGGTCCAGTCTTGGTTGAAGTCCTCAATTTCGCTATATATGAGATAAGGCAATGGCATCATCATTCAGTGGACGGGCCGCAACTTACAACTTGACATTGGGTGGCACCCATGAAGGTTGAATGGGAGAAATGTCCGTCCCTATCACTTCGCACCCGGGATACTTGTCGGCAAAATCACTTTCAGGTCAGTAAGGCTAGAGGTTTTGGATCTTGCAGTTACTGACATGGCCCATATGCCTGTGAGATAGATGGAATATCAGTATGGCAACTCTAGATGACTTTGCTATAAGGTGTCGCGTACCTGTTCCGCATCCAACGTCAAGCACCTTCTGGTAGTAACAGATGGCTTTAGCCTAGAGCTCATTGTCCTGCAAACCCTAATAACTTACTTGGATATTATCGTTGATGGGAGCCAGGTGCAGCTCTCCGCCTTGCGCAAGAGTAAACATGTGATGCCTGTACGTATTAGTTCACAGAGCTCAGTAAAGGATTTAAATCTTACGCTATGTCCATGGCTTCACTTTGCCGTTCATCATTAGAGCCCCTGGCGCAATATCAGCCTTGCATTCGGTCACATAATGAGTTATATTACCAATATGCAGCGTTCCCTCTCTCGCTGTGGTACGTCCTGCCATTGATGGTACGATAGTGGAGAATGCTTGAGGTGATGGAGGCAGTTGAGCTTTCGAAGTCTTCGCCAAGGCCTGGGTCATCCTCCTCCCCCTCAGGAAGATCATCGACTTCAAGCGCCTGGGCAGCAGTCGCGACAGGTCCCTGACTCTGGGGAGAGCGTGGAGACCGTGGCGAACCGCTCTTGGGGCTCTTTTGAGACATCTTGCAGCAGCGCAGTAATAGATAAGTGTTGGAGAGGAGCGGTAGCGGAGAAGAAAGCCGCGCTCTGATCGAGACCAATGCGTCTTTTAATTGTGCGGAAAGCTTTGGGGCTTACCCTTAAGTTCATGATCTGATTCGACATTCCCCAGGTGTAGTGTAACATGTGACTGATATTCCTTGCCTATAAATTTGAGGCCCATCACCAACCAGCCACTGAGAGGATAGTATTAAGCGAATCAATGCCACTTACAAGCCCATTCGGAGTGGAAGAAAACAATGGGTTCGCCGTCTTGGCAAGATTCTTTGATAAATGTTGCATTTATTATAGGAGCCTTTTGAATAGATTTTTAAAAAGTAAGGTTGTCTGCTCTGTAGTTCTATTCGCACTAAAGTTAGTTCTACTAGCCAATTTAAAGCATTGCTACTACCCAAGAGATCGTCTACCGGTATGTTTGCCGCGCACGTATAGCAACCCCGCAGATTGGATCAGTGACGCGGCCCCGCATTTTAATTATCCCGCGACTCCCGCCCACTTCCAGAAATAAAGGACGTATACTCATGAGGCAAGCCGTTGACTCTCCAACATTGGCATTTCTGTCCCTTATCAACCTGTAATCGTTTATACCTCGCTGCAATGATTCTCTCATGTAGTGACTGTGGTGCCACTTTTGCTAGACATGAGCATCTTCGACGGCATCAACGACGGCATCTAGACATTCGCCCTTATAGTTGTCAAGATTGCAATAGTACCTTCACACGGAAGTGAGTCACTAGCAATACATTATCCCATCTTGGCAACAATCAGGCTAACAAATGCTAGGGATACTCTGAATCAGCATTTACTTACCCATGATCCTGCCAGGATGACTCGTAGGTCTCGCAGGGTGGCCTATGTAGCTAAGGCTTGTGTGTCCTGTGCTCGATCCAAACAACGTTGTGACGGTCATTCACCATGCGGAAGGTGTTCTCTCAAGAACCTCGACTGCGTGTATCGCCACTTGCTGCAGAGGGGACAGAACTCAACCCGGGTTGCCAGCCCCCAGTCCCCTTCCGCTAGCAGAGAGAGCCATTCACATAAACCTTTACCCGTGGTCCAGAGCCAGCCCCGCCCTTTACCACTTAACTCAGCACCGAGTGTTTACAGTCCCGCGTCTGAAGCGATCGGTGATCCTCCTTCTTTATCAATAGACGTCGGCAACAATTTTGTAGAGATGGATCTGGATTCAGGGCATGAAACCTTTCCTGATGGAGTCTCCGCCAACAATCTTGCATTTAAGATTGGAGAATCGGACTTGCAAGGCTGGGCGTCGCTGGTTGACGATGTTCCCTGGAACAGTTCCATGCACTCCATGCTCGATGACCCCTTATTCGAACTACCTCACCCCATGGCATTCTTTTTCCAGAGTCCAAGCGAACTACTCGGCCAATCAGACGTCCAGGCAATACCGTGCCCTATGGACAGTGAGCCCATGGTCCATCAACTCGAATGCGAAACCCCGACCCCTAACTTTACTCAGTCCTTGGACATTTCAAGTTCTCAAGGCCAAAGCAACCAGACATCGCCCGAAACCACTTCGCATTCCTCTGTTAGAGATGATGCCGAGCTTGAGCCATGGAGGGCAGAAGACTACGGGCATGTGCCCGATATTAATGACGAAGCTTATCAAGTCATGGTTTCCACCTTTGAACAACTCAATAGCGACAATGCATATTGCGTCCCATTCACAGATAAACATTTGCCATCTCTGCAGCATATGCAGATCTATATGCAAGTTTATTTTGAAGAGTATCACTCTATTTTCCCTCTACTCCATAAGGCGACATTCTCACCTAACAAAGACGACTGGCTATTGAGTCTTGCCGTTTCATCAATTGGGTGCCTGTTTTCGAAAACCTTGCGGTCAAAAGAAGTCTTTCCAATTATGCAGGAATTTCTACGCCGAGCTATTCGCATCCAGGTTAGTGCATCCTTTCTGGTTACCAGAATCGACCTTTACAAATAAAATCCATATTGACAAAGCTTAATTACTAGCTGGAACGAAGTCAGACCTCAGCACCCAGTATCAGTGTTGCTCAGGCTTCTGTCCTGAACCAGATTGGCATGATGTACGGTGGGGACCTGAGATTCGCAGAATGTGCTCATGAGACAATGGCGCAACTTGCAACCCAATGCCGAAAGATTGCTTCATACTCACGCAACTTAGCAAAGTCATCAGTCGCTGAAATTACGGTATCTCAAGGCTGGCAAGCATGGGTCAGGGCCCAATTAGAAATTCGTTTGTTTTATTGCGCTTGGGTAAGTGTCTTACATCTTATTTATTCGGCCTTCAGTAATACTGAGAATCATGGTATCTAACTCTGCTTCAGCTTGTAGATAGCCAGCAAGTTGGCTTCTTCGCCTTTTCATCCACAATTCCAATCGACTTTCTTCAGTTTCCCATGCCGGTCAATGAATATGTCTGGGGCATGTCTACTGCCGAGACGTGGCAGAATAGTCTCACAGAGGGTCTGGACTGCAAGCATACTTGTTAAATGACCTAGAGCTGACATTGTCTTCAGATCCATCTTCTCAACAATTGACTTCACTCCGCCAGGTACTCATGGGACTTTACCGTTATCGTGAGGTCCCTGGCCAGCTTGATGCATTTAACTCGCTTCTTCTGGTAATGGGTATTCTAAATGACCTCTCTGGGCTTCGCCATGCTCATTTATATCTGGAAATATTGCAGCGACGTGTCGAGACCCTTCCACCAACAGCTCTTACTCGAGCTGTCATGACTAACATTCACATGGTTTCTCTCTTGATATACTTCCCGACAAGAGAGGTTATCGCTTTTGGACGTTGGCGGGTCACTGAAGCCCAGCATTCAATAGTTATTGAGAAACTGAAAATATGGATGTCTGATATCCGCAGTGCACGAGCGGCTCTGGTACATGCATGCAGCATTTGGTCCCAGGTTCGCTTAAGCCGCACCAATTCTCATCATGAGGCGCCAGCTTTGCTATATAGCGCTATCTCTATCTGGGCTTTGGTCGAGCATAGTGAAGAAGTTGTTGAGAATGCAGATGAACTTCCAATTCTTCGGCTAGATAGCCTGAATCAGGACGTCAAGCTCTGGGCTGCTGGGAACGAGAAGAAGCGCTTATACTTGAGTGGAGTTGGGCTTCTGGCGCATCGAGGTGCCTTGGCCCGGTTGATAAGTGAGACTGCGAGATTGCTAGAGAAAAGGATTGCCTGGCCTCAAGCTTGGAGAACAGGGCCGCACTTAAAGCAGTCTTATGCCGAATCACGAAGGATACAGTAGTTTGTAAATGAGACAAATTGGGAGATATAACTCGGGCACTGTATTAAGAGGAATAAAAGGTAGCAGTAGAATCCGTATTCGATACATCCAAATAGATATGTTAGCCCGCCAATGGCTCCATCCTTTCCCGGCTCTGAACAGCTGCCTCGAATTCCTTCTGTATAGTCGCCAGTCTTTCAGGGCTCCTGACAGTCAATACGACAGGCAATTCAAGCCCAGGGTTACCTGGCATATCGCCTGGAAAGCTTTGAGGGTCAAGAGGAAGCTTTGTTCCAGGCTTCAAACTAATATCGAAAGCCCAAAGAATACGCATAACACTGACAGCAAAGCTTCTATCCGCAACGTGGTAACCGGGACCTATAGCAGGGTAGAGTAAGTAAGAGATCGAGGCAAGTTGGTCTCAACCATTGACTTACAAATGCGACGTCCAGCTCCAAAGACAAAGTGGTCTCTTTTGGAAACGTCAGGGGATGCAGCGCTCTCCTGGCTCTGATGGCTAGTCAGCATATAATCAACTACCTTGGAGCCCTCGCTATTTCTCACCGATCTTGTGTCGCCCTCAAAACGCTCAGGTATGAAATTTTCGGGATCCGGATAGCGTGTCGAGTCTCGATGAATTGCCCTTGATTTACATTAGCATGGGAACTCATCGAAAGCAATATCAATGCTTACCAAGCATTCAAATGTATCCTCGCCCCCTTTGGAATGCGGTAGTTCTTATACATTATATCTCGAGTGGTCGTATGGGGATGGCCCAGGGCAACAGGAGGGCGCCATCTCCAAGATTCCTTCATGACCTGACGAATATATGGCACACGTTCCAGATCTTCGAAAACGGGAACCCTATCTCCAACAGCCGAATCTATTTACATTAGTACTTTATAGCCCTTGATCTACGAAAGTCAAGAAACAACCCAACAGACTTACCAATTACCTTTCTCGCTTTATTGCAGACATCTGGAAACGTTAACATAGCCTCAAGGAATGACCAAGTCGATATCCGACTCTGTCCTCTTGTCAGTATTACAGCTTGAAGAAGTAGAGGTACATCAAAGCTTACAGTATCTGAAGCCCCGATTATTAGCATCATGCCCAGGTACGAGGCATCTTCGAGGCTGTCCAGTCCCAGATGGTTTGGGTCTTCGATGACCCTTCGGATGAAAGTCATATGCGGCGGAGCCTCTCCAGCATCAATTTGTGACTTTACTTTCTGGGTGATCGTGTGAGTCATGGCTCGTGGGCTCCCGAGATGGACCTTACCTTCAGTTTATCACAACACCACTCATAGTCACGCTTGTGCCTGGCCTTTGCATCCCTTTCCCACGGTTTCAGAAATAGTGGTAGCTTGTCAAGAATGTTGAAAGTGTCAACTAGATAGTAGCCAGGGAGCATACCAAGAATCTGGGCTAGACCTGTTTCGAATATGTAGTCGATGACAGGGCTATTGTCTTCGGGGACATCCAGGCCAAAGATCTGGGACGAGAATGTGCTATATGTATAGCGACCAATGCTCGACCATAGAGACTGCGGATCGGCGCCTTTGTTGGGATTTTGAGCAATATCATTCAGGAACTTCAACGTTTCGAAATGAAGAAATGGAAGACCAGCATCAGCGAGATTTAAGTTGGTCAGCCCAAAGGTTGTGGCCTTTCGTTGACTTTTCCATGATTTTTCACTGGAGCTAAGAAGGAGAAGGTTGAGTCGGTTGCATATCTGCTCGTTACTGACAATCCAACGCGGTCGCTCAGATGTTTGGGCCGCAGCCTTGTCGAAGATTGCTCTGACAGCTTGGTCACTATTGATAAAGCACTCCTGGATAGTGCCGAGCTGAACGAAAAACACCTCGCCGTATTCCTCGGCCCACTTTTGGAAAAGAAGGTGCTGGCGATGTTCCTTGGCTGCTTTCAGGACGGTGGGAAGATGGCCAGCGATAATATTTGTGCAAGGAGGTGAAGGGGGAAGAGGAAGAAGTTGCTTAGTCTCCCGGCGCCTTGATCCTGCTCTTTGCACCAGGACTATAAGCAGAGAGAGCACAGCTAAAGCTATAGTCAGCTCCCGGCTTGGCATGGGAATTGTTTGAAGCATAATGAGTCTTGGTTTTGTGATGTTGAGAATGAGCCTGATACGTTTGCTAAAGATAAAGATGAGATACTTGGATTTATCGTTTTTATCGCGGACACCAGTTGAATAAATATATTATCTTAACTGTAAAGAACAATATGGTCTAAGGAATGACGCCCGAACTCCTTGAAACGAACTGCATTTGTGCCGATTAACCTTGTGGGGTAACCTAAAATTACCACAGCGGGTATTCCGAAGACTGCGCCATCTCCATATTCCGATCCCCCCATCTCGCGGAATACGGGGTCCTGATGTAACAGACGCACAGGTCTTGTCCGAGTTCGTCACTTTGGTCATTTGACTACGACCAAGAAACAGAATGTAATATCCAGGTACTCACTTATGCGCGGAATTGGAAGTAGTCTTTTGCCTCCATATTCCGCAATGTCTGTATTGTTTGCCCCCTCCAAGCCTCAATGGAACCTTAATCGGTCTGCGTAGCCTACTAGATATTGCATAGCAAGTTTCATAAAATTAGCCTTTGTTGATAATCTCCGGCTACCTTTTCAACAGATGTAGCTCTCCGTACCCGTTACTCTCGCCTCTCTCAGTATCTGCAACCCTTGCCTCCCCATAGTAAAACCCCCCTCCGTTGAACTCACCATCAAGGTTTGGGTAATTAAAGTCTCTGTAAACGCTCTTTATCCGCCTGGCACTGTCAAGAAACCTCCGTCTTATTGTCGAATAGTGAGAAATAGCTAGCTTTCCGTCCCGTTTCACAAAGTCTCCATTAACCATGACATGCAAGATATCGCCAATGCTGGCGTGCAGCATAATTGCAGCAATGGGGTCAGTCCATCCCAGAAGTGAGGGCGACTCGGCTGCATTCCACACAATCAGATCTGCCTTTGCTCCTTCGCGGATGACCCCAAGTTCTGAACGGCGAAGTGCGAGACCTCCGGCTCGAGTTGCAAGCGAAAAGGCCTGAACAACACTCATTGGGTTGTTCTTGGGCACCTCCCACCCGGAGAGTACCTTATCAAAGAAGAAATAACGGACACTCTGCACCCAGATTCGGGCTTGTGTCAAAATGTCGGTTGAATAGGTAAAGTGGGTGTCGACGCCGAGAGCAGCCTGATCCTGGATGTAGTAAGAGTGTGGATGCGTATGTCCGTAGTGCATCTCCGATTCCGGAGTGATAGAGAGATATTGGTTGGTTTGGCGAAGAAGGTTGGCGCCAGTGGCTGTGAGGAAGCTGCCGTGAGAAAAGACAACTGGTATCGATGTGTTGAGTAGGTCAAAAGAGTGAACGTCCTCGGGGAGGTTAGAGACTCCAAAGGGACCAGCAAGAGAATGGGTTGTCACAACCGAGACATTGAATTCTCGTGCGAGGTTTGCAACTTGTTTTGCAACATCTGGAGGGTTCGGGCCGAAGGAATCATATGCTATTCCTAATTGAACATTGCTATATTGGAGAAGGCCACTCTCAGCTATTTCAATAAAGTTAGGAATCTGATCATTGACCGTGTAGTTCAGGGTCGGAACGTCATGGAAAGTATATGCCCAAAATACACGAGCTCCGCTCTCAACCGAGGCATTGAGACCCGCATAAGCTGTTTCATTCGACCAAGTGTGATGAGCATGGTCCAGCGAAGTTGTCACCCCGGCATTCAGGGCCTCTAGGAGACCTGCGAGCTGTCCCCAGTAAACGTCTTCGGCATTGAAATGGGGTGCAGCTGCAAATTCTCCGTATCGCCCAAAGTATTGAGCCAGAGTAGTATTGGATCCAAGTGTCTTGAAGGCTGTCTGCCAACCATGGCGATGCGTATCAATGAAGCCGGGACTTATGATCTGGCCGGTGGCATCGATGACCTCGGTATCTCTGGGCAGGCGAGATGGCTTGGAAGTAGTGACTTTTGCGATCCGGTCGTCCTCGACTAATAAATAGCCATCGCGAAGGACCCGAGGCTCGGGCTCAGATTCATCCCAGGCAATAATAGTGGCACCTGAAAAGAGCTTGCTACTGGCAGTAACACCAGCTGCGTTGCAGACAAGCGAGGCAGCAATAGAAATAACTGATTCAAACTTCATGATTGTCGTTCGAGAGAAGAGAGAACTGGAGAATTAAGTAATAGGTATAAAGTCTGTACGTCAACGTGAAGAACGAAAAGTGCACAACAGCGCCCTTTTATAATATTAAAATTGCTAAAGAATGACGTTTGTCCGGATATATAGATAATGCAACTTGTAATACTTTTAGTCATTCCTTGCAAGAGTGGATATTTAACGTCTTGAAATCTAGAAAATTCTGGAGATAGTAGGAGGTCAACGACGGATATACGGAAATAAAAAAAATTGCAGTTATAGCCGAGACAATGCGACCCACAGTACTGGAGTTAAAGTTAGATCTGGTGCTAGAGGTATATAAGCAAAGCAGTTAAATAATAAAGTATTGTCACAAAATCATAGCATGTTGCTGACAGATTGAGACTCAATTAAACATATGTTTAAAGTCATTTGCATTTTTATTAACTATCTGATATAAAACATCTAATCTATTTCTCTTCTAGTCGCAATTTTATGTCCTACTAAGTTTTATATCACCAAGCCAACACCTCCTGGATACCACCGCAAGACAAGCTCGAACACAGTGCTTCGTCCTCCTTGTTAGCCTCAGCAGCCTCATTAGATGGCAACTGCTGTCTTGCGGGCCAGATCTGCCTGCCTGCTTCCCTCTCAAGCTTGGCATGCTCGTGAATTGCCTGTCGGTGAGATTCCTGGAATGATAGTGGACCATGTTCCAGTCGTGGATGCAACTCCCCACTCACGAAGATGCCTGCATTGAGATTCTTCTGGGCGCCAATACACAAGTCCTTATCTTCCGAGACAACGCGTGCATAGAGATCAGCAATATTATGGAAGTCCTCTTCGGATGAGTTCTTGTTGCGGAATATTTGATAGTGCATAGAAGAGGAGGTAGGTCCAAGTGGCATGAAACGCTGAATCATCATAAAGTGAGGCCTGCATGGTGTTAAAGGATCCCAGGGTCGGAACATATCAGGTACTTACAGGACGACTACTGAAGCACTGGGGTAGAAGTATGTGCTTGCGAGTTGCATTCCGCTCTTCTTCTGCTCCTCAGTCTGAATGCTCGAGTGCTTGATCCATCCCTCGCCGGTGTCGCACTTTGTCTTTCCGAGGTCTGCAAGGGTAGGAAGATCGGGATGGGTCGTGGGACAGTGATAGCATTCGTTGAAGTTGTCCGCCAAGATCTTCCAGTTATATTCACCCTCCATGCTGTATTCATTGTCCAGAGTGTAGTCATCCCAGTTGACCTTCTCAAGACGCTCTTGCTGATCAATACCCTCGAAGTATCGAGTCCAGGGTTCCGGGTTCTCAGAGCTGTCGAGGTTGACCCAAACAAAGCCATACGCATCGACCTTCAGATGGATCTTGAAAAGACCGTTCTTGCTCTTGTCAAAGTTCTCAAGCTGATCATAATTGGGTGCCTTGGCGAGGTTGCCACTCAGTCCATAAGACCAACCGTGGTACTTGCATGCAAAAATGGAAGAGTTGCCTTGCTGTCCACCTTGTACGACAGGAAAAGCGCGATGACGGCAGATGTTATGGAAGGCGTTGAGGTTTCCCTTTCGATCACGGGCAATGACGAACTCGTAGCCGGTAGTGTTGAACTTCATCCAATCGCCAGCCTTGGGAAACCGGTTCTGATGGGTAGTAAGCAACCACTTCTTGGAGAAGATGGCACGCTTCTCGAGCTCATACATCTCAGGAGAGTTGTACCATGTTGAAGGGAGAGCACGGACGGGACTTCGGTGACTTGTTTCGGTGAAGTTGTCGCTCTCGACGTTCACCTTGAGCTTATTCGCAGTTGACATTGTGTGTTGGGCTTTGTGGAGATAAGGTTTGGTGAGATTGGTGAGCGTTATCTTGCTTGTGAGAGTAGCTTGACAAGACAGGCATAGCACTTTCTTATAGACAATCGTGTGCCTGATAGAACCCGGGCTAGAAGATAACGACCCCGATATTCCGGGTTGAACCCCTCTCGATGACAGCGTATCGGATGCGTACTTTGGTCATAATGAGGCTGGTCTTCGGGAGTTCTGATAGTGCACACTTGAGCAGGTCTTGTGACGCTGATCACCCGACCCTTGCAGCCAGAGATATGAAAAGATAGCAATGTTAATTGTCGTTCAGTGATTGGCCAGCTCGCTGAGTAGCGGTATCGCAGACCGAAGCCGCATCCTCCGTCAAGCAGACATCACCAGTAACGCGGCATCGAACGATATCGCTTCTCCGCTCCATTGGGCTTAGACTCAGGCACCTGATCGGCTTCTGGACCGCTTCGGGACAGATAAAGAGAATGCGCAAAGTCAACTGGCGGGTGTCAGTGTCACCCCGCATTATCCTCTCGGTACTGAGACCCCTCGGCTTCAGAACCCGAGAAGCTTCAGCCGCGTCGAGTCTAGAACCCGAGAGATGTGCAACCCTCGCTTCGGTTTGGGAATCCGTGTGAAATGATGAGTGTCATCGATTCTTTATTGTTCCAATTGACGGCTTATCTTTTCCTTTTGTGGAAATGGGTATGCAAGCTATGCATATATGAATGAGGTGTCGAAAACTCTATGGCAACTTCAGCCAGTCCCGAGTTTGGTGGCTTCAAGTCATGTGTTTTCCGCCAAAGTCTGATAAGCTTGGGAATAAACCGGACAAGATCAAGATGAATGTGGAGGTGGATCTTTGTTATCTGTCTGTTAATTTCGCACTGTTAGCTCGCCACTGCTGCTAATTCACAGTTCCTGACCGAATCCGTAAAACGGTGGAACCACTCCTTTCACAGTTCAAAAAACGGAATTGTGGGTTGTAGTGGGTCGTTCATTTACATAGAGGTTCGGTCAGCGAGGCAAGAGTTAAAGGTCATGAACAGATAAGTTGAAAAGTATAAGTAGGTTTATGTACTCAGACTGGATTTAATATATGAGCTGCGTGTTACCTAGGTTGCTGTGCCCCGATCTGAGTGCTTGTCTTCATGATTAATGATTATGTGGTCTGTTTGCAAGCCCAATCTTCTAGTAAATAAATCCTACCCTAAGGTTTATAATGCGTTATGCATCTTGGGGCGTAAGCAATATTATTCTTGCAGATATTATAATATACCTTAAGTTAAAATTGACTAAAACATTCGACGTTCCAGCTGTGACTTCTAGAAGATCTTATACATATTTATATATAGAACAATAGCAGTCTTTGCTGAAGAATTAACTCCGTCATTAAATTGCGGAGTTTGGCGGAGTTTACCACCAATGCCCGGATAAATGATCTGTATGCTTTCACTGGAAACAATAAAGTCCAGGCATAGGACTCGACTTATACTATCGGGGCAATTCAAATTGCGTTCCTTGTACCCGCAGTGCAATTAATTCACCTAAAGAGCACGGAGTCGGGCTTCATCTGCCTTAACTCCGCAGCGACCATACCGAGTGGGCCTTTGCGGAGTTTGTTATAGTACTTAAACTTGGTCAAATGTTGAATGCCTCCAACTTGTAGATCACTTCCATCCAACAAATACATATCATAAAGTGCAAACAAAATGACAAAAAAGATCGCGATCGTTGGTGCTACTGGGGAGACGGGAAGGTCAATTGTCGATGGCCTCCTCGGGTCCGAAACCCAATATGTCCGCACCTGCACTCTTCCAGCTTGTTTGAATGCGCTAACAGACACCAGGAAATTACAGCCCTGGTGCGACCAAGCTCAGTTGAAAAGCCAGCGACTATCAGCTTGAAAGAAAGAGGCATTAATATTGTGCCAATTGATCTTGGTGGAAAACATGACGAGCTGGTCGCCGCGCTCACTGGGATTGATACCGTCATCTCAGCCATCCACTTTCAATCACTTCACAATGAGATCCCACTGTCCAATGCAGCCAAACAAGCAGGCGTAGAGCGATATGTGCCATGCTTCTTCGCCACCATTGCCCCTCGTGGTATAATGGATGCTCGCGATAGAGTGCGTTGATTCCCCGCCAGGAGTTCACAGAGCTAAACATCACTCTAGAAGGAGGCAGTCCTTGATCATATCCAGAGGATCTATCTCCCCTACACCGTGATTGATGTAGGCTGGTGGTACCAGATTACTCTGCCCCGAGTTCCGTCGGGTAAGCTGGACGAGTCTCTCGTCTCCCCCAACAACAACATCATCGCTGGCGGTGACATCCCTTCCGCGCTCACAGATGTTCGTGATATTGGAACATACGTCGCAGCTATTGTGAGCGACCCAAGAACTATCAATAAGAGAGTAATGGCCTACACAGAGACCAAGACGCAGAACGAAGTCCACAAATTGGTAGAAAAGGTGATTGGCGAGAAGCCAGAGTCAACTGCTGTAAGTCTATTAACTTAAAACCGTTTGAACGATTATTGAACAATTATAGTTGTCAAAGGAACAGCTTGAAGAAATGTTAGCACCATTCAAGGGATCCACAGAACAGAACCAGATGCGTGCTATCTATGAGTACTGGATGTCTTGGGGCGTACGAGGCGACAACACGCCAGAGAATGCCGCTTACCTGGGGTATCTTCTTGCAAAGGACTTGTATCCCTCTCTACGAGGCAGAAGTCTGGAGGATTTCACTAAGGATGCCCTTGAAGGAAAAGTCAAGAAGGTATACCAACAGTAATATAGACTGGCTAGTAGTGCGTTTCAGTATGAGCAACATGGGATGTCTATTGGCTGAACAGGCTAATCAGGCTGTATAGATAACCATAGGTTTTTATTACCTTGCCTTAGCATTCTTTACTCTTGATGGCAGACATTCCTTATACTGATGTCATCTAATTTGCAACAACAGAATCAGAACAATGATTAATAATATAGTAATCATACCACAGCTAACATGGTATCCAGTATTCTGTAATACTACCAGAATCCTAAATTATATTAGTCTTTGTCTCAGGTTTTAACCTGATTGTCACGACCCTTGCGGTTATATTATATATACCCTATAATTTTCTCTATAACCCCTACTAATTATAATAAGACTAAATAGATCTTTATTAATCTATCTAGTTTAATTAATTAAAATAGAATTAAAACCTTATAATATTAAATTAAAACTAAAAGATTAATATTTTAGTTTTTAATAGAAATATTAATAAATATCTTATAAATAGTAATATATAATTTATATTTATTTATACTTTTATAAATTTAATTTACTAATTATTAATAAAACTTCTTTATATTAATTAAGCCTAATATATATTAAATCTACTATTAAGAGATATAATACTTTAATAACCGCTTAGTATTATACCTTATATAATTTGCTAATAATAAACCTCAGCATGGCTTAGTTTAATACAGTTAGACCTAACTGTCACACCAATAGGGTATAGCTTAGGTATCCTTGTCTGGAAAGCAGGGCGTCAGACTGCGGGAAAAAGAGGGGTTATAACAACACACCTAATATCAAGAAAAGAACTATCTTTTGGACGGACCTCATACATTTATACTTTATCGCTTAGCCTTCAACTACAATGTCTAACACTAGGGGCAAGACTTGCACCCGCTGCTATGAGATGACCGGCTCCCACGAGGGATTCCGAGCTTTGACATCACCCGGTGGGTATCAACATCTCTCCAAGATAGAACTTGAACAAAGCGCTGAACAAGGCTGTCCGTGCTGTGGAATGCTCTGGGCATGCGCCTTGAAAATGAACAAGATGTGGAAGAGGGCGGAAATCTGGGAGCCAACCGTGACTGCTCATTGTGAGTTAGAATCGGCGAGGCTCAGTTTTCTTCGATACACAAGGCGTGCGGAGCCGGGGGATGGTAAGGCGCATTTCGATATCCATTTATCTGCAGCTCCGCGTAAGTCCCCATTCTTCAGCTTGGTACTGTACGGAGACGTTAATACCCGCTCAGAAAACCCTGCCGCGAGCACAGTTCACCATGAGCCCATAGTGACAACGCCCGGGTGTGAACTCGTTATGACGACCGCTAAGAACATGATGGATCGCTGCCTCGCCGAGCATAAAAAATGTGGCCCGAATACCCTTCCAGACTTACCAACGCGAGTTCTTGCTATTGATAAGGACTCACGATATGTCAGAGTGCATGAAAGTACACCTGGCCAGCAAGACCGATATATAGCACTGAGCTACGTTTGGGGAATGAAGACGCAGCCTGTAACAACGACAGCAGATGCTCTCAAAGATCATGTTCGAGGGATTCCAGTCTCTTCGCTGCCCAAAACTATAAAGGATGCAATAATGACTGCAACACTTCTTAACATTCAGTACCTTTGGGTCGACGTATTATGCATCATCCAGGATAAAGGCCATTCAGACAAGAAAATAGAGCTTCAGAAAATGGGAAAGTATTATCAGAAGGCAACTCTGGTAATAGCAGCCGCCGTCTCTTCCGACGTCACGAAAGGATTCCTGCACCCGAGAGAGCCATATCCGGGCTGCAAGCTTCCATTGTTCTTGCCGAAAGGTTCCGAGGGAACGATCTATCTAACACCAAAGGTGTGTGGCGAACGAGCACCCGAACCACTCTACTCACGCGCCTGGGCCCTTGAGGAATTTCTTCTACCTTCACGCGTTCTTATTTTTGGCACAAGAGAGGCAGTCTGGCAATGTAATTCAATAGAGCCCCAACCGGTCCTCCCAAGCAATATAGACTATGACCCCAGTTGGCCCTGCAGGCGACTAGGAACAAAGGACAAGCGACGGGATGTCTGGGCAAGTGTGGTGGCTAATTTCACATCGCGGGATATGACCTATATCTCAGATCGGCTCCCAGCTATCGATGGATTCGCCCGCGTGCTGGAGGAAAAGTGGAAAGAAAAGTATGTTCATGGTCTATGGCATGATCATCTACATAAACAGCTCATGTGGGGAAGCAAATCTAGAACTTTGCCTGACCCTGGGCAATCGAGAGCACCCAGCTGGAGCTGGGCGGCCACGGATGGTGCTGTCAAGATTCCACCTATTTTCAGCTGCAGGAAGCACGCCGAGATTAATTGCCATGACAGCATTGAAAAGGGACAGGGGGCACAACTCTGTCTTTTTGCGATTGTGAGACCATTTGAGCAGCTCAGGCCCTTGATATTGGAGAAGAAAAGGGCGTTAGAAATTGAGCCATCATTTCGAACATGGAGTGGTGTCCACGATGACCACGATATGGCAGATGACAGTGGGAAGCTCGAGTTTGCATTACTAGGGTTTCATGCGCAGGGTGCCTTTGGATTACTTCTAGAACCTCTTCTACAAGACCGCAAGCTATTTCGAAGAGTAGGCACAATAAGAAGGTTTCTTCCTGGGCAGCCAGAATGGTGGGGGGATATAAAGGAGAAGATATTTATTATCTAGAAAGTACTTATAAATACTTAGGCTATAATTAATTTTAATTAAGATTTTCTATACTATCTTTTTATAACTTTTATTTAGATTTTATATTTTTTATTAAACTTTTTTATTTATTATTTCTTTTTTATTTATTATTTCGTTTTTTACTTTATATTTTATTTTTTAAAAGAAATATATTAATTAATAGTTTTTTTTTTTT